CTTAAAATAAACAGAACTGAGGCATTATAAGATTTCTCCATTGATCATCTGGAAGAAGCGACCCTTCAGAAGCAAACATAATAAATTAGTCACTACAATGTTTGCAGTGTCTTTTACAGCATTCATTACATACTGTCTTTTTATACATATAACACAAATGAAAAGTTTTTTTTAACTTTGGTTCACACAGAACACATGTTTTTTTCAAGCTTATCTAAATTTGAATCTTGCAGCATTTGCTCTACTTGCAGAATTTTTTGAATTGAAGCTTCTTGGTATTTTTTGTATCCAGTCTTCTCATCATTTCATCTCTAATCAATGTTTCTGCTAATCGTTTGACAACGTGGAGGCTGGTTATTTTCTTACTGGTGTTACCATAACAGTTGTAAAGGATGAAATAGTTTACTGAACTAATATCCAATATTCTGAAAAATGCTGCCATAAGCTATCTTCTCGTACGCCTCCCACTAGAATATATGGCACAATTTTGGTCCAATGAATCAACATCTCCTTTATTACTGTTGTAGTAAGCAATAATCTCAGGTTTGTTGCTATCGGGATCAGTGTATTCATAATGATGCATCAAGGATACTAAACATACTGTACAATTTTTCTTCAGAACATATGACAAAAGGGTTATTTTTTTTGTAAATGTGTACATGGAAGAACCAATAGCTTTCCTTTGTTGTGGAAGAAATGAAGGAGGAATTTCAGCTTTATTTTTCTTCAGAGTCCCTGCATAAGTCAAGCCTCTGTTTCTTAATTTGCGAACTACCTCAATTCAACTAAACCAGTTATCAGCGATTATATTTCTTAGTACGAAATAAGAGATTCGGCTAATCTCAATACAAATTTGAGTAAGTTTGGAAAATTTGCGGTCCTCCTCTGATAAAGATTGTCCATCAGAATTCTTGCCTAAATATAAACAACCATTGAAAAAAGAGCTATTGCGAGAATCTGTAAGGTATAATAGCTTTACCCCATATTTGTCAGGTTTTAGTGGAAGGTACATTTTCAATTTGCATCTCCCATGAAATGTGATTAACATCTCATCAATGGTGGCTGACGTCTCAATCATATAAACCTGACAATTTTTTACAAATTGCAAAAATTTCTGCAATCGGGGCAGAGGTATTCAATGCCCGTTATTCCTTTCAGTCATCTGGATTATCAAATTGCAGGCATCAAAAAATGGCAAATCTATTTCAATTCATTACACATCTAAAAATTTCTCGACCAGTTCCATCAATAGCAAAAAGACATTCAATGTTTTCATGGTTAGATCTAAAAATTGATTTATAGAGCAGTAAACCAAAAAAATGTATTGATCTATCAAATCCACACCACACAGGTCATGAACTTCAATCCAATTCTTCATCCATGAACTTCAATCTTTCTGCTCTAATTTTTACATTGGTCCACTGAATAATGGTGCTAATAATTTCTTTAGAAAATAATTTCTAGAGGAGTAGGTGAATTTCAGAGATTTCTAGCTGCTGGCTATAGTCCAGGTAATTGCACTACAATATTGTGACTGATAGTTTTGGATCTATTGCTTCCAAAAAGTGCAGAAGACCATTTGAATTCTTGCCATATAAATTATTGCACAACATAGATTGTACCTGGTCATCAATTTCATCAGGAGCTTCATCATCGCTGATGTCAGAATTGGCGGCGGCGGGTTCCTTATCGTCCATTACAACAATTTTGTTGCAATCTGATTCCATTTCACTCAAATTACTCTTTGCTTTATCATACCATTTTAAAACAGTTTCTTTGAAGGTTGAATCACCAAATCACATTCTTTGGCAGAAAGCATAAAAATATATACGGTAACAAAGATCTGCAGTCAAAATGACTGAAACTCAAATTCAAACGCCGCTATAGAAAACACCAAATAACACAAGCGTGATACTGCATACACTCTTATTGGCGGGAAAACAAGCTATTCGCAACCAGAACGATCCATTTTCTAAAAATAGGGGTGTTCTGAACATTTTGGAAAACTGGTGTGGTTACTATGACCACAGGTCTGTGGTTATGGGTTAAAATAGACCAACGGGGAATGGAGACACTATTACATTACCCTAATCACTTTGCATCTCCAAACCAGATATAAAAAAAGGATTGAATAATCTAAAAATCTCCAAAAGGAAGGAACTGAAGTGCTATGTGGTTTCTGGAATTCAAAGGAATGACCAAGAGTCTCCAGAATAGACACATTGTCAAGACAAAAATTTGTAGTCCTGCAACCAGTGTTTGAGGCTGGGCACTTCTCTCTGGCTGCGTCCAATGTCTTTAAGACCAATAAAATAAAGTTTAGTAGCAGAGGTGGCAACAGGTTTCATGCTAAAAAGAAGCACCTGAATCTCCCCATCTATGTCCTCAGGAATGGCTTAAAGCATTCATTAAAGGTTTTCTGGATTTCAGAGACCACCCTAATCAAATAAATCAAATATCACATCCTCTTGGCACAAATGAAAAATATAACGCAAACTTCCAAATAATTTTTGATGGCAGTTTCAATGTCTTCAGTGTCAACAACAAAATTTTAGTTTAATAAAGTCATGACTACATTGGGAAATGATGCAGTATTTCCTTTTTTACTTGGTTTATCCACAAGGAGATTTTCTTGTAGAACTTTGTCTTCCACGATAAACACGTTATAACCATGGCCCTGCAGTGACTGATTAAGTTCATTTAGTTTTTTAAATATGCCAGCCAAATAGCCAAGGAAGGACAACCAGAAGGCATTTTCAAATTTTTCTGCTAGGGGTGATGAAACATTCATCAGGAACAGGTGCATTTCATCTCATAGCTCAAATAATGTTTCACTTCTTTGACAACAAGCTTACTTATGAAATGAAAGAGAAGAGTGCTGTGCTCAGAATCCAAATTCTTGCGTAATTGTTGGAATAAATGTCCATTCAATGGCCGGCTTTTGATGAAAGTATTATTTTTGCAGCATCCTCCAAAATCTCATGTAACAATGGGCTCATCCATTTAGAAGCAAGTGCATGTCTATGTAAGATGCAATAATTTGAAACAACGGAACAGTTTCTTGTCTTTGCTCATGCTAACACGCCCGAAGCTCTTCCTGTAATAACTGCTGCAACATTGGAACAAATTGCTACACACCAAGTCCGTAGTATTCCATGTTCACTGAAAAAAATGTCAATTTTTGTGAATATTTCTTTCCCAGTTCTACTAGGTAGTGGGTAACAAAACAATATGGGTTCCCAGTATATTGTCCAAATCAGGAACACACTCAAAAGACAATTAATTGCTCTTTACCACCGATGTCAGTCTCTCACCTTCTAGAGTCTCAACATTTTTTTTATATTGTGACCCAAACTGGATGCAGTATTCCAAGTATGGTCTTACCAAGGCATTATAAAACGGTATTAACACTTTACGTGATCTTGATTCCATCCCCCTGTTCATGCAGTCTTAGTTTCCCATGTGGCCCCTTGGGAAAATTAATTGCTCACCCCATAGCCTCATGACCTTGGAGCAAAGGGGGGGGGCTCTTGAAATGTCTCCATCCTCTGTCTTCCCCTGATCCACTCTTACCAGACAGATGTCCCCCAAAGATAGAAAACTTGGAAGTGACTCTGGTCTGAAAAACCCAGCCAACCCCTTTGTGCAAATGCCCTGGGGAAAAGGGGAGGGGCTCTTTGGGCTGATACCCACCATCCTTGTTCTTATCATTGACATCGACCCTCTAAATATGGTTTTACATTGTGTAAGCCGCCTCAAGTTGCCATGAGCGAATAGGCGGCAATATAAATTAAATAAATAAATACTTCCCCTAGGACTTTGCTCGTCCAAACACCAAGGGGGAGAGCAAAGAGTACAGGGGAGTGGGATGAACACTTATGACCACTGCAGCATCTTCATGATCATGTGATCAAGGGTGCTTGGCAACCAGCATGTATTTACAATGGCCGCGGCATCCCAGGTCATGTGATCGCCATCTGTGACCTTCCCAGCTTCCACGTCAATGGGGGAAAAGCTGTATTTGCTTAACAAAGGCATGGTCCACTAATAACCATCACAAAAAGTTATAAAATCAGGCACAACTAACTGAATAATCACCTTGCTTAGTAATGGAAATTTTGGGCTTAATTTGGACTTAAGTTGAGGACTACTCATATTTTTGAGTTCTCTTCGTACACCCTTAGTGGGGAGAATTTATTTCAAAGCCAGGATGTAAATTCCTACCTGTTTGCCAGATGTATTGGCTTAGATTAAACCTTTGTCTAAGAATTGTTCTTGGATTCAATCAGGTGAGATCAGGAAGAGGCCAGGGCAGGGATCTAGGACAATTTGCCAACTTTCCGTGGGACACTTCAATGTGGTATTAATCGTTTCATTCGATTACTTTTATTATTGGCGACCACGTTTTTGTTGAAATTTTGTATTTCTGGGTTCACTTTAGTTTATTATTATTGGTCAAAGCTCTGGCAAAATTAATTTAATAATTTTTTATTTGTTGAATTGTCCCATGGCGTGTTGTGCCGTTCATTCTGCCAAGGAAGGTGTTTCTCAAATCTTCTATGGGATTCCTAGATTTTTCTCTTTATTGCAGGTTCCATCTGGCAGCTTCCAAGGGACTCATAGAGGACCTATAAAAAAGAGGTTGAGACTCTAGAAAGAGTGCAGAGAAGAGCAACAATGAGGATTAGGGGACTGGAGGCTGAAACATACAATGAACAGTTGCAGGAACTGGGCCTGGCTGGTCTAGGGAAGAGAAGGACCAGGGGAGACAGGAGAGCAGTCCTCCAATATTTGAGGGGCTGCCCCAGAGAGGAGGAGGGGGGTCAAGCTGTTTTCCAAGGCACCCGAAGGCCAGACAAGAAATAATGGATGGAAACTGATCAAGGAGAGATTCAACCTGGAAATGAAGAATTTTCTGACAGAACAATTAACCGATGGAATAGAAGTTGCCTTCAGAAGTTGTGTGAGCTTCATCATTGGAGGCTTTCAAGAAAAGACTGGACTGCCATCTGTTAGAAATGGTGTAGGAACTCCTGCTTGGGGAGAAGGGGGTTGGACTAGATGACCTACAAGGTCCCTTCCAACTGTAATCTGTAAAAAGAAGGATCACACGGGTTCTTCCCTTCCAAGAACAGAGGATGGCTTCAAGAGGTAGGAAGGCACCCAAATGAAGGTCAGAAAGGACTTCTAAATAAGGTGGCCGAAGATCCAGTGGTGCGGAGCAGAGATGGGGCTTCTCTCCAAGGAGTTCTGAGGTTGGCCAGTCTTCTCCACTGGGATGCTTTCACACTGGTTTGGACAGAGGCGGGGTGAGACTAGTGGCCTCGAGGGCTCCCCCCAAGTCTACAGTCAGCCAAGGATGGAAACGAGCCTCGCAGCAGTTCAGAAAGAGAAGACTGGGAGATTCCTTGGCTTTGAGGCTCTGCCCGGCTTCACCCCCAGTACCAGGACCTGGAGACGTCCAGTTCCTCCTTTTGCAGCGGGGACTTGGCACTCCTCACGGCAAACATGTTCTCCGTGTCCAGCAGAAACATGCTGTAGAGGTTGAAGACCAACATGGCAACCAGGGGGAGGAAGGTCAGGCCAAATCCGAAGCCTCGGAACGAGCGGCCCATGGCGTACGCCAGCCAGTAGAGAAGCCTGGAAGAAGGACAAGAAAGAAAAATGGTCAAAAGAAGTCAAAATGGCAGCCACGATGGTGGGATCCAAGCGTCACACCCATCGCAATCCTGTGGATATCCCCATCAAAATCCCAAGCAAACCCTTGCTTGCATTTCGCAGGAACAATTCCAGTTAACAGAGAACAGAATAAGAGAGCTGGGACCTTGGAGGTCATTTAGTCCAACCCTCTGTTCAAACAGGAGACTCTATACCATTTCGGACAGATGGCTGTCTACTCTTTTCTTAAAAGCCTCCAGGGATGGAGCATCCACAGTGTCTTATATTTATGTTTGTTAATTGGGTTATGGGTTTTTTGGCTAATTCATTTTTATTTTATTTATTTAGTTTAGTTTGCCAAGCATGTATGAGAAAACTATAAGTATGAGCATAACATATAAACATGTAAGTATAACATATATATACATAATAAAATGAGTATGAATAAATGGGAACCGTAGGACAGGGACGGTAGGCACGCTGGTGCACTTATGCACACCCCCTTACAGACCTCTTACGAATGGAGTGAGGTCCATGGTGGACAGTTTAAGGTTAAAGTTTGGGGGGGTTGAGGATGTAACAACACAGTCAGGGAGTGAGTTCCAGGCACTGACCACTCTGTGGCTGAAGTTGTATTTTCTGCAATCAAGTTTGGAGCAGGTTACTTTGAGTTTGTATCTATTGTTTGCCCATGTATTATTGTGGTTGAGACTGAAGTAGACATTGACAGGTAGGACATTGTAGCTGACAATTTTGTGTACTAAGCTTAGATGAGACCGTAGGCGGCATAGTTCTAAGTTGTCCAGGTCTAAAAATTTCAAGCCTGGTGGCATATGGGATTCTATTGCGAGTGGAGAAGTGGAGGGGGCTCCTGGGGCCAGACTGTGAGGGACCTCACCCTGTGAGATAGGAGGCTGGGCTGGATTCTCCCAGCACACTAGGTGTTTGTCAATTTGGGGTTTCTGTCTTGGGGAAAGTTTTTAACACATGAAAACTGTTAATTGATAAGATGTCTATGATCTACTGTGTCTCTTCTCTAACTCCAGGAACCCCTCCCTCATATCTGCACCCCAGTTGCATAACACGGACTCCGATGTAAAATCCCATGGGAAGTAAAGCACAGCTGGCTGGGAAATTCTGGGAGTTGAAGTCCACCCCTCTTCAAGTTGCCAAAGTTGAGTAACACTGATCCAGTCACTACATGCATCTGATGAGTGCCGTTGCAGCTTACAAAAGAATACACCCAGTGAATAAAATCTCAATTAGAAAAAAATGCCACCAGAATCGGCTGCCATTCTCCTTTCAGTGCCCCAAAATATATTTAAAAGACTTTTATATATTAAAAGGCATGTAAGCCAAATGTACCATCAACAGGATGGAGATTTCCCATCAATCCATTTTTCCATCTTCAAATAAAAAAACCAGACTCGTCTGGCCAATACATTTCAAAACATTTTTGTCTCTCAAAATTGGCCTCTTGAAGAGGGGTGGACTTCAACTCCCAGAATTCCCCAGCCAGCATGCTTTAAACCAAAGGTCTTCAAACTTGACAGCTTTAAGACTTGTGGACTTCCACTCCCAGAATTCCTGAGCTAACATGACTGGAGGAGGAATTATGGGAGTTGAAGTCCACAGGTCTTAAAGCTGTCAAGGTTGAAGACCCCTGCTTTAAACATATGGAATTTAAGTCTATAAACAGCTCAGGCTGGTTGGGGAATTCTGGGAATTGAAGTCCACCCCTCTTCAAGAGACCATGGTTGAAAAACAAGGTTAAATGTTGGATGAATAACAAGAGGTCTTCTAGTCTAGGGGTCACCAACCTTTTGGAGCTCAGGGACCACCAAACTCATCATTTTAAATCCCGTGGACCAGAGACCCTGGGAAAAAACCCCAAAAAGTCTGCAGGAAAATTCCCCACCTCATTTTCCTACCAATCATTCTTTATTTGGGATTGCAGGATACCATCTCCAGCTCCGTTCTCAGTGGGAGAGAGAGAGAGAGAGAGAGACTTTTGGCTTCATGCAAGGAAAGCAGCAGAAGCAGCAGAAGTCTTTCTTTCTCTCCCCCAAACTCCACCAGAAATGAGTCTTTGCCGGCGCAGCTTCTTGGAGCAGGAGGCCTTGCAAGGTCTCATTTCTGATGGAGTTTGGGAGAGAGAAAGAAAGACTTTTGCTGCTTTCCTTGCGTGCAGCCAAAAGTAGAAGAAGAAAGAAGCAGAGAGAAGCAGCCCAGTGGCCAGGCCAGGCACGTAGAGTGAGTGGGACAAGTCCCCCCCCCTTCCCCCCCCACTCACTACCTCGTGTTGTTTGCAATGCAAGTGACGCAAGCCTTGTGTTCCCGCAGGCCATGTGGGCGGCACAGCCTTGTGTTCCCACACAGCCTGGATTAATTGCTTAAGGGGTGACATTTCTCTGCAGACTCTCAAAATTTTCTTGCGGTCCACCAGTGGTTGGCGACCACTGTTCTAGTCCAACCCTGTGATGACCCGGGACAAGTCATGAAGGTCACACAGCCAGCTGAGAGTTCAATCTCCCCTTGAATGCTCCAAATTTCCCCCCAAAATGCTCCCCGTTTTTTGGCAAGCCCCAGAGCAAAGTGCGCACACAAACACATGGCAGCCTCTGGTTGCACCCAGTCCAGCAAAACAAAGGAATAGGGAAAGGAGTCCACAAACCAAGGAACAAATAATGTGTCCACGAAGTCAGGAACAAGGAAATGAGTTCACTAAGTCAGAAAGAAGGCACTGAGTTCACAAGTGAAGCAAGCAGTCCTGCAAACTCCAGATATCTGTACTGGCACACCCAACTCTACCACTTCAGCCTTTGTTCCCAACAAATGTGCCTCCCCACAGCGTCTCCTTAAATCTCCGTCCCCAGGTGGGCCTTGTGAAGAGGGGTGGGACACTCTCCTCCCAACTTGTTGGGTCAGCCTGCGCTGTTCCCACTTTTTCTCCAGTCTCCATGCTCTGGGATCAAGAGGGGGCGGTCCTTACTCATCGCCTGAGCTCCGTCGCTCCTCATGTCTATTGCTTACCTTCTCTTGGTCATCCTGCCCCCATTCCTCCATGCCTACAAGCTATCCTAATCCTGAGGGGCCCTTGGCTGCCTCAGCCTACTCCTCCTCCCCACATTCCTACGAAGCCAACGAAGTCGCCCCCTTGATCTCCATCAGCTCCAGCTCCAACTCATCCTCGTCTGCAGTTTCAGGCTCTGACGGGGGCATAACAAGCCTACCGCTCCAGCAGGAGACCCTGTACCAGGCAAATGGATCCAACCCAGAGGAAGGGTCTAGAAGGGAGAGGAGAGGGGTCACATAGCTGTTTCTATCTTACCGTGAGATGGCAAAAAGGGCCGTCAGGAGTGGGATCACCTTGAGCCCTTCCTGGGGCAGGTAGGTGGAAAGGACAGCGATGTTGAAGAAATAAAGAATGAAGAGGTCGACCGACTGCGAGACAAAATGCCGATGGATCTCCACCTCCCTGGTGAGCTCCTCAAAAGGCTGCAGGGAGGAGGCACAAAGGCGAGACACTCCGTAAACCATCATCCCTGCAGGGGAAAAGAGACAGGAGGAAGGGGTCAAACACTTTAGATTAGGGGTGGGTGTAGTCTTTTTTAGCTATCGTATTAAAAATATTTTATTTTTGGTTAAACTGTAAGTGCTGAAAAATGAATTAGGATGAGTCCTAGGATTGTTTTCAGAAATAAGCTCTGCTAGCAATGAGGAAGGCTACATATTTATTTATTAGATTTTTAGTCCACCTTTATTATTTCATAGGTAACTCAGATTTACAAACAAACATAATACTCCTTCCTTCTATTTTTTCCCCACAACAACCCTGTGGGATGGGTTGGGCTATGAGAGGGTGACTGGCCCAAAATCACCCAGCTGGCTTTTATATCTAAGGTGGGACTTAAACTCAGTCTCCTGATTTCTTTTTTCTTTTTAAACAAACTATTAATTATACAACTAAAATGTCAAACAAACACATACACAACACACAGAAAAAAAGGAAAAAGGAAAAAAACGATTAAAAACTAGCAATTCTATTATCGACACTCTATGGTTCCTTGTTTGTTATCAATATTGGTGATATATTTACAAATACCTCTTATTGCGAGTATATAATTACTACCTCTTTTACATTTTACGTTGTTTACTAATATATTTTCTATTTTTGTTCTATCCAGTCATACCAGCATTCCCAGCTTCTATAATATTCTGATGTTTCTTTTTCCTTAAGTGCTAAGGTTAACTTATCCATCTCTGCATAGGCTGTTATTTTCTGAATGACCATTTCCTCTGTTGGAATGTCTGCTTGTTTCCAACACACTGCAAAGGTTATTCTAGCTGCAGTAAGAATGTGCAGTATGTTATATTTGACTTTTTTAGACATTTGTCTATTAAATACCCCCAATAAGAAGAATTCTGGTTTTAATTCAATTTGCTCCGCCGTTATTTCCTCTAACCGTTTTTTTTATTCTATGCCAGTATCTTTGGGCTTCAGTGCAGGACCACCACATGTGAAAGAATGTTCCGTGTTTCTTTTTACATTTTAATGTAACGCTGACATTTTAATTATTCTCACTGATAGGAAATTCTTCCTTAGTTCCAGGTTGCTTCTCTCCTTGATGAGTTTCCATCCGTTGCTTCTTGTCCTGCCTTCAGGTGTCTTATGAGCTGAATGCAACAAAATTTCATTTTAATGTATGCCAATTAATCTATATTCAAAGTGACAATAAAGTTATGAATTCTATTCTGTTGAGGTAATTCCCCATTAGGAGAATGAGCGCATACAGGGAGACATAGTGAGAGAAGTGTTTGAATAATACACACACAGCACACAGATACACTGCACAGTTAATGTTAGGTTTTTACTTTCAATAAACGTTTAAGTAAAGTCCAAACAAGCAATCCAAGTCATTCACAGGTAAAGCAGTCAGTATTCATTTCAGGGATAATCCGAATATCAAAGTCCAGTATCAAAAAAACAGTTCAGTAACAGACTTACATCAATGATCAGTAGGAACGGGAGGAACGGCACTACTCTCCAACAGAAGCAAACAGAGATTCACTCACTTCATTGAGATTTCTGAGACTGGCTCCATCTTATGGCCATTTGTGGAACCACACCCAATTTCAGTTTTTGCATTTTCTTAAAGATACAGTATTAAAATGTCTATCCTGGTTTATATATTTCCAACCCAAATAACTGTTAGGTGAATAATATTCCTAACATATTCTATTCTATCCTATCCTATCCTCCTAAATTCTTCATTCCAATATTCTATTCCAATTCCCTCTTCTGTTTTATTCCATTCCCATTCTATTCTATAGTCTTCTATTTCTATTTCTATTATATTCCTTCATTCAAATATCTGTTCTTGTCTATTCTACTCTACTCTATTCCCATTTCCATCCCTGTTCCTATTCCATTCCATTCTATTCTATTTTCTATTCTATTATTTTGGCTTTATTTTGCCCAGAATCACTGAATTGGGCAGCCATACCAATTTTATCAAAAAATAAAGTTAAAAGGGAATATCTGGAAAATTCTCCAACTGGCACTTGACTGTAGAATTTATAGCTGGCTTTCCTGATGGGCAAAGATGGCAAGATAGCCACCAGCATCATGATGCATTCAGTAATGAAATTATTGTGGGGGAGGGATTTTTTTTGCTTTTTGGGGACTGCACATGCAGATTTCCTGGCCTGTGGAACGCTTCAACGGAGCCTGTCGCCAACCCTGGGACATGAACCGAGGGGAGTCTGGGCTGGTCATGTACGACAGCTTCCCCCTGCCTGGCACCTTCTCTATGTTACAGGAACTGGGCCTGGCTACTCTAGTGAAGGACCAGGGGAGACAGGATAGCAGTCTTCCAATATTTGAGGGGCTGCCACAGAGAGGAGGAAGGGGCCAAGCTATTTTCTAAAGCACCTGTAGACCAGACAAGGAACAATGGATGGAAACTGAACAAGGAGAGATTCAACCTGGAAATAAGGAGAAACTTTCTGACAGGGAGAACAATCAACCCATGGAACAGAAGTTGCCTTCGGAAGTTGTGGGAGCTTCATCAATGGAGGATTTTAAGAACAGACTGGGCTGCCATCTATCAGAAAGGGTGCAGGGACTCCTGCTTGGGCAGGGGGTTGGACTAGATGACCTACAAGGTCCCTTCCAGCTCTGTTAATGTGTACGGCAAGTAGACTCCTCCCCCACTCACCTAAAATGATGGGGAAGGTGGCGAACGCCCCACAACGCAGCGTGTACACCAGCCGGGCACTCATGCTCTCCATGACAGGCACGTCGAAGGGCAGGAAGACATAGGCACTGTAGATCAAGACCGGGAAGATGATCAGGGCGGTAGTCATGGAGGCCACGGCTTTGAGGTTGGCCGAGTTGCAGCACCCCTTCGTCTGGCAACAATGGGTCTGTGACGGCTCCACAGCAGGATCGGGGAGGTCATGCAAAGAGTCCGAGCAGCCTCGGCCGAGGAAGGTCTGCTGCTCGAGGTCACACTTCTCCTCCTGGCACAGTGCCCTGTCCTGTGGTGGCATTCCTAGCTGCCACGGTTGCTTCTTGTGGCTCCTGGGACGGCGTTCGATGCAGAGGGGGTCGATGGGGATGAAGGCGTGGGTTGCCATGGCGGGCATCCCACTGCACCCATCGTCCTCCAGAGGTTTCAGGAAAGCTTGATGGTCCATGGCAGAGCCCAACGCAGCTGCCTTCATGCTCCCTTCCGGGCTCGGCCGGGCGTCCATCTCCAAAACCTCGGGCATCTCGCCCGCTGCATCGTGTTGGGCTCGGTCCCAGGGCAAAGTTGCCTTGGCATCGTCCGAACTCGGCTCCTGGGTGTGAGGCTGGGCCAACTGGGCAGCAGGGGACGAGTCCTTCCCCAGGGGCACCATCGCCAAATCTTCCGAAGGAGCAACGACCGACATCTTCAACTGTTTTAGCAAAAGTTTGTTCCGTATCTGGTGAGCTTTTTTTCTGCTAAATCTTTGCAGTCACCATTCCTTCTTCTTCCCCAGAACAAGAGGCTCTGGCAAAATGGACCAGGAATATCTCAGGATGTGCTGCAGCTGGTTCGTGTGCTGCAAAAGGAATGGAAAAATATAAATACATCGGTTTGGAGACAGCCAAGGGATGCAGAGGGTGGCTCCAAGGCAGGGGAGAGATTCAAAAATCCCAACAACCGGTTCTCTGCCCGGTTGCTGGGTGGGCGTGGCCATGGTGAGCGTGGCCTACTGGAACTTCCAGGACCATTTTTCACCTTTCCCAGAGTCCGGAGGCTTCCCTCGGGCCTCTGGGAAGGGCGAAAACAGCTTCCCCAGGCTCCGGAGGCCCTCCGGAAGTTGAAACAGGCCCGTTTCCGGACTTCCGAAACTTCCAGGAGGGCCATTTTTCACCCTCTCAGAGCCTCCGCGCAGCTCCTGCACTTACCTGCATCCAAAATGGGCTACATGGAGACTCCGGGGAGGGGTAGAGTGGGGTGGGCGGGGCCAGCCAGTCAGTTCAACTACCAGTTTAGCAAACCATATGTCAATTTAACATCCGGTTCACGTGAACCAGCCTAAACCGGCTGAATCCCACCCCTGCTCCAAGGCCTCCCCACTGAACAAAAATCTGCAAGAAGGAACACAAAGGAAATCTTTTGTTTTGTTGGTCATCTTGGGAGGGGAGGGGGCTTATCTGATCAATACAGGAACTATCCTCCCCTACTAAAGCTTGAAAGGGGAATTATCCATTCTAAGAATTTTAAAACGGCCTTTGGAAGTCGTGGGAGCTTCATCACTGGCGGCTTTCAAGAAGAGATTGGTCATCAGATAAATTTGTGTCCTCAGGTAAATGGGTCCTTCCACACCCCATTTGCACTACTCAGGTGACCCTGAGGACACAGACAAACCTCCAGTGGCCTCAATGGCTCTCTAAAAGGATGCAAATGACCAACTGTCTGCAAGGAATATAATTCCTTCCCTTCCCCACCAACCAGTCAGAGCTGAAGAAGCTTCTGGGATGAGAAGCGAAATGTCTTCAAAGAAAAACCAAGAAAAACCAAGAAAAACCAGAAACTCTTGAAAAAAAGCACCTCATAGATTTCTTCTGAGATGTTTTTTCAACTTCCACATCCAAATAACAGCCAGTTTCGGCCCTTGTCTTCATTTGATATCCAACAGAGTTTGCCTCCTGCTATAAAACCAGGAGGGACGTAACCACCCCTTTGTCAAACCTAGTAACACATTTTATTAAACAGATCAAGTTTTATAAGCTTCACTCCATCAAATGTGATTTTCTGCTACTGTAGGCTAGCCTAGCACACCTCTCCTCCCACAACTAACTGTTGTAGAATTGGGTTAAACTTATGCATAAATTAAGATTTACTTCATAAGAAGTGTGGAGTGTTACTTTAAGTTGCTAGACTTCATAATTCTGGATCTGTATTTATATATATATGTATATATATGTATATATATGTATATATATATGTATATATATATATATGTATATATATATATATATATATATGTGTGTGTGTGTGTGTGTGTGTGTGTATGTGTGTATGGATCTTTGGTTATTCGGGTTTTCTCCCACGTAAGATTGGAAGTATCTAGGCAACGTTTCGATGAAGTCTCATTCATCATCTTCAGGCTTGTGTCTTCGGCTCTGTGCTTCTCAGAGTGATGTGAGCTTGCAGCTGCTTCTTCCTTTTAACTGCTAGTGGGGGTGTGACTTGATTGGGTGGGGGCTTGGCTGTGTTCTGATTGGGTGGGGGTGTGTTCTCATTGGTTGGGGGTTTGGCTGTGTTCTGATTGGTTGGGGGGTTGGCCGTGTTCTGATTGGCTGGAGGTGTGTTCTGTTCAGGTGGGGGCTTGGTTGTGCTCAGGTTAGTCTTAGTTGCTGGGGGATTTGAGCTGGTGAGCTGTGATCTTGCTGTTTGGCTTCGAGTTCGTGGTCGTGCTGCATCTTCATGGTGGGGGTCAGTTTGCTTCATCTCGGAGGGGTTTGAAGTGTACCCACTTGTACCCAGTGATGCAGCTGCAGTGCAGCTTCTGGTCCGTAGTCGTGTCTCATCTTCTGTGTGGGTGTGAGTCTGCTTTTTACGTGGAAGTGTGGTGGTGGCATCTTGTGTGGCCATCGTGGGTGTGGGTCTGGTGTCATTCTTCATGTTAGGTACTCGTCTGTTCATGAGGGCAGGTTTCCAAATGGCTGGTAGGCGGGAGGTGTCATCTCTTTTATTCATGCTGTGGGGTGTTTTTCTATCTCTATGGCTTCTCTGATTATTCTGTTGTTGAAGTGTTCGGTTTTGGCGATAGTTCTAGTATTTTTAAAGTCAATCTCATGTCCTGTGGCTTTGAGGTGTTGGACCATGGAGGAGGTCGGTTCTTCTTTTTTGATTGAGTTCTTATGTTCTTCAATGCGTGCACTTATTCTTCTGTTAGTTTGTCCAATGTATGTGGTGGGGTAGGCGGTGCAAGGGATTTCGTATACTCCTTGGTTTTCTAACTCGATTTTGTCTTTAGGGTTTCTTAGGATGGTGGATATTTTTCTGTTTGTGCAGAATGCTGTTTTAATGTTGTGTTTTTGGAGGATCTTTCTGATTTTGTCTGTAGTGCCTTTTATATATGGGAGGAGGGCTTTGCCGTTCTCTTGTTCTCTGTCTTGGATTTTGGTTGGGGTTTCTTTTTGGATTAGGTGGGTAATCTTCTTTCTTTGGAATCCATTGGCTGTTAGTACGTTGGTTAGTACTTCATCGAAACGTTGCCTAGATACTTCCAATCTTACATGGGAGAAAACCCAAATAACCAAAGATCCATATATATATACATGAAGCGAACTGACCCCCACCATGAAGATGCAGCACGACCACGAACTCGAAGCCAAACAGCAAGATCACAGCTCACCAGCTCAAATCCCCCAGTAACTAAGACCAACCTGAGCACAACCAAGCCCCCACCTGAACAGAACACGCCTCCAGCCAATCAGAACACGGCCAACCCCCCAACCAATCAGAACACAGCCAAACCCCCAACCAATGAGAACACCCCCCCACCCAATCAGAACACAGCCAAGCCCCCAACCAATCAAGTCACACCCCCACTAGCAGTTAAAAGGAAGAAGCAGCTGCAAGCTCACATCACTCTGAGAAGCACAGAGCCGAAGACAGAAGCCTGAAGATGATGAATGAGACTTCATCGAAACGTTGCCTAGATACTTCCAATCTTACGCCGGAGAAAACCCGAATAACCAAAGATCCACATACAAATACCCGCGAGA